GATGTGCAGCTGGTTCTTTGCCGTGGGACAATGGATCAGAGAGAATAGGTGCAACTGTGATGGTCATAAATGTTGAGTCTGCTCTGAGGCGGCAGGCAGCAACGACTGACCTGTTTTTAGACGATTTAGTCTCATCTACCTCTGTATCCTGCAGGAGAGCACATTTCCATCCCAGCAGCTTCCAGACACAGACGCAGGTTAAGTGGATGCATGTTGACTCCATGATAGGCTTTAGGGAAATAGATGGCACCCAATCAGACAGCAGACATGGAGGCAGAGACCAGAAAAGGGCACGGGGAGGAAATAGAACATCTTGCTTGTCGTATAATTAAAACATTGAAGCCAGGAGTGAGTTTTGATTATGACAGGAAAGATAATCTGTTCGCTATTTCTTTATTCATTTCCCTGGTGAGAGGGAATATGGATTCAGTGGTCAGTGAAATGTATGTTCCAAAGATGAGACCTGCTTTGATCTGCCTATCACTTGTTAATAATTGATGTTAGTAATGTAAGCTAAGCTAATGCTAATGCTCTCATAGGCTGGATGTTCCACTCCTGAACAGGTCTTTTTCCAAGATAACCTGTAACCCCCCAAAAATAATGTATTTAGCATATATCATGTCCCTTGCCTATGCAGTAGGTTACTAAAGGTAGTTTTTATAGGTAGGAAGATAGTTAGTTAGATAGCCAGGCACGCACAGTTGAATCCATTCTTTACATTTTGCCCCTGTGTTTTTGGATTTATAAAAGTGCTTACTTACATTTAGTAAGTTATGACCGGAGACAGTCACCTGGGGTGCGTAGACAGTGCCACCTTAACAAGTATACCTTTTTGAGAGGTGAATTGTAATAAACTGATTTATTATTAAAATTAATTTAAAACATATTGATCAAATTTTCCAAATAATGATTCGATGATTTGTGCTTGTTTATTTAATCTATGCCCCTTCTCAATTATAGCCCTTGAGAATAATGAATGCAGCAGATTAAATAAAGTTAAAAGAAAGGAAACAATTAAATGTCTCTACTTCTATATCTATATCTATATCTATGGTATTTTCCTGTCTGTCAGCAATTTTTAACGAATGTCATCTGATACAGAAAAAAGGCAAGGTTCTTAAATTTGTATTATTATTTGAAGAGTTTGTATGGCAGTTTGGTTTATATGTGTATGGTTTGTGCAATAGTGGCACTGTTTACACACACATAAGGAGTTGGTTCAAGTAAATATCCATCTATTTGAGGCAATTCTTCATGTTAACAATAATGGGAGTGATAAGGAATAACCTAATATTCTCATGCAGAGTCAGAGTTCTTTGAAATACATCAAAGGGCAACTCTCTGGATATCAAAAGTAAGTGGAACTGAAATGAATATTATAATCGCAGATTAAACATTGCAAAATACCTGCAGGGAGGGACACAATTTAATAAATGCCTCAGTTTGGAGAGAGACTGGTTGGAAGGTGAGAATGAGATTTTTTTTTAGAACTCCACTTGATATTGCGAAATACCTTAAGACAGTGACTCGGTTGGAGATTGCACTTAAATATTAAGGGATTATGCAAAAATAAAAGTTTTCATAGGAAAAAAGCCTATACTGACACATCAGTCAATATACTAAGCATATACCATATTACTAAGTACATACCACTGTTATCAAAAGAAAAGAATGACAAAATTTCATTACTAAAGACATAACCATTGAAAGCCATGTGAGCAACAATGTGGCCTAACTTTGCTCGCTGACCTCAGGCCCCAAAACTATACATTTTAGCGCAACTGTTAAAAGTTAATCAAGTCCACTGAAAACTTCAATCTCTATTTTTTTTTTTAACACAGAGGAACAGGATCACTGACAGTATGCACTAGAATGATGCATAATCCAGTCCCCCACAATGCTGTTTACTGGATGGCCTGCTTAGCTTTAGATGTTATACTAATGCCAAAGTAGCACTAATTACCTTAGGCTACAACAAAACATATCCGAGATGGTAGGAAAATGTCATGTGTCATTTCCTGTACTGAAAGCAAAAATCTGCACATATAATAGAGTGAGGTCTCATGCTGTCATAGAGTGCTGAGCAATGTTCAGGTTTTCATTTCTCCCAGAGATAATGAGGTGATTTCATGACGAGTTCCTCCTCTCTGGCTGATGGTTAATCAGTAAAATCACTTGATGTAGTCTCCAGTAAAAATGAAAACCTGCAGTCCCTCCTGGCACTGGGGTTGACGCCTCTTATGCAGACAGAATATGATAATTATGAACAAGTTACTGTTTTAACAAGGTAAATGTGACTGTCAGTAATGCACACATATATTGGTACACATCTTTCTCACATAGGCTACTGTTTTCTTTCTCTTATCTGTGACAGTATCCCTTGGAGACATGCGTGTGTGTATATGTGTGTGTGTGTGTGTGTGTGTGTGTGTGTGTGTGTGTGTGTGTGTGTGTGTGTGTGTGTGTGTGTGCGTGTGCACGTGCACGCGCGCCTATAGTATAGTGAGCTGCCTTTGTCTCGATTTCTCTGCTCATTACCGGCGCAGGTTCAAAGAGATGGGTACTCATTTACATAGGCAGCCCTGGGGCTGGAACCCCTGTGTGTAGCAGCCAGGTGATTCATACCAGCTCCTACAGTCTTATTTTGCAGAGGATTAGATTAAAACCAATCAATCAGCCCGGCTCACCCTGACCCAGTGGAAGATGAGTCAGGTGACTGCTGTTAGGCCGTCCAACATGTTTCTTGCCCTCTGCAAATAGCCTAGAATAGACCTTTTTGTCGCACAGCCATGGCAACATTGCAAGTCTGCACATTCACTTAAATTTAGAGACTAGAGATTTAAGAAATCCTGAGAATGTTCACACAGCGAGAGGCAGACCAGTGTGAGCATAAAAATTCAAATAAAGGGAGTTATATTGTGTAATATAAAGGATTGGATCTATCTGTTAACATGTCCATGTGGGAATGACTATGTGGAAAAAACCGCTAGAGATCGCAAACAAAGAAAAGTGGAACACAAAAGTACTGTTCAAGACATTTATCTGGTAGGAGCTTCATAAAAATGAAACCTGATTTTCACTTACAGTGAACATACAGGAATAGAGAAAGTACAGAATCTGCTAAAGAGGGGACCTTGAATTTCCAAACTGCGCACTAGAGGCCTGAGAGGTTTAAAAGAAGACCTTATCATAGAATAACCGGTATTACATTTGTTATTCTCAAAAACAAATGAAACATGAACAAGATTAACGTTATCAGCTGTTTATCCCAGTACATACAGTACATATTTGTTTAGATCTATAAAAAAAAACATATGATACGACCGATAAATGTTACTGATTGGCTAATGTGTTAAGGCTTATTCAGATTTATTCTGAAGCTTCCAGTTTAAATTTGGAGATATAGATAAGCAGACAAACAAATGCTGTACAAATTTTCTGTGGTTGGTTTCAGGGCAGTGCTCTGTCACTAACAGGTAACAAGTTGGCAAAAACATTCAATAAACTTTGACAAAGTTTATTTGTGTGGTAAAGTGTATGTGAATATATTCAGCCACTTAATAGTTCATGATCATCATTTTAAAAACATTGCTATTTTCTAAAGGTACACCTTTTTTCCCAGGGTTAAACTAATGTTTTGTTCATCAGCATCAATAATAATTATAAGTAGACTACTCTATTTACATTTTTTCTTTTTACAATGTCATTTCCAATGGTAAATTTCTTTATGCACATCATGATACAATAACTAATTTCATTGAAATATCAACACTGTTACCCAATTTCTCCTGCCTTGATACTCAGTAATAATCACACTGCACCCAGTAATTGAAGCTATATGGCAGAAAATAATTGGGGAATAAATATATTAGTGTGTCTCATACTAAAACATTCATCTGTCAATTTGCGACAAATCTTAGCTGAAACTGGCACGTGCAGCTCACCCAGGCCTCCTCCAGCTGTATTCTGACGGCCCACTGGAGAGCTCACTTCTCTGCATTCCCTTGAGAACTATATGAAAGCAAAAAGCAAAATTATGCAAGGCTAATGTCCTCTTTAGAGAAAATATGGTATAATATTTATAAACTCTCTACTTTCTACACACACCACCAGAGAGTGCAAATGTAGACACATAGATGTGGATGGTAATGCATATTTAATGGACTTTTATGGGAAGGCACATATTCATATTAATGTGTCAAAGACATAGTGTTATGTCAGCAAAGTGAAGACATTTTAAAGCTACACAACTGATATTCCCTGCTTGTCCGAAGCAACTAAGAACATCACAGCTATCTTTATTATCCACATTTTCATTTTACGTTTTGGCAGCAGTCAGAAATCTGTTGCTATACACTCAGTAAATCTGTCATTGCTCTTTGTGCTGACCCTCTTGCACTATTTATTATTTGGTCCTAATGTCAAGTTTGGAGTGAGAGCTACATTTTGTGATGTCTTTGAGTTTTTAAAGCTGTACCCAGCAGCAAAAAAAAATCACTGCACATGTGTGATTGTATAAGACAAACTGTAGATGTGCCAGTGAGTCAGTATAGACATCCATGCCAGATTCCAACGAGACACGAGGGCCTACAATATAAAAAAAATAAAATAAAAAAATATATGGTGGCAATGCTGCTGAAAAGGAAGGCATGTCATTTCCTTCCAAATATCATCAGTTGTTTAGAATTGACAATAATGAAGATGAATGTATCATATTAGCACTTTTCCCTGATTAATGTCTGTTCACAGAGCTGAAAGCTAGTCGCAGTTTATAATAACTTCCTTAATAATGTTTTTTCACTTTCTCCTCCCACTCCCAGCACATCGTAATTATAAAAGGGTAACATCTTTTCAATTAGATGAACATGAAAAAGCCTCAGTCTTCAGTTCCGTCAGGGGTTTTGTGTGCACCACTGTGGCACACAACAGAGCAACAGTTTGGTGGTACATTACGTCATTCTGTACATTCACCTTTCCTCCTCATCCGGTTTGTTTCACAGGAAAGGAAGCTGTGTGCGTTCCCAACCATTGAGATCTGTGGCTCAGACGTCATCAACTATATGGTTCCACTGTCCCGCCAGACAGACTTCTTTGTTCCAGAGATGAAGGAGGAGGTCAAAACAGATGTGAAAGAGGAGGACTCTGACGAGGACAGAGGAACTGACATTACAGGTAATATTTTTGTTAATTTCAAGAGCCCCTCATGAGGAAATAATTAACGGCATGGACCAAAAAGCTTTGCGAAACAACATAGTTCAAGATGCTAAAAGAAATGTCCCTTTGTTTTACTGGAAACTGAAGTTTTGAAAAGTAAAAAAAAAAAAAAAAAAGAAAAAAGAACAAATTCATTACACTGAAGTTGTTTTTGTGTTATTTTGTTTTCTCATCTAATTGTCTAATGAAGCGTGTTGATAGAAACACAAGTTTCTGCTCTGTTGAGACTACAGCTTGTGTCAGTTAGGCACAAACAAAAAGGAAATATGTGGCAACTTTTATTTTGTCCGACACCGCACCGACTCCCCTCCTGCCCTTGGATCACCGAGGACGTATGATATATGAGACTCTGTAATTGTTCTGTCACTGCAAGTATGTGTCTTCAAGCACAATGTCTTTTCTGCTGCTATTACTCTCTCAAACTTGCTGGACCTGTAGGTTGGACCCATGGCAGTATTGACTTTGTCATCGTACAAATCACCAGAGAAAGTAAACGGTGCCAGGTTGATAGGACAGAGTGGGTGGAGGTGGGTTGATTTACCTCAGGTGCTGTCTGCCTTGAGCTTAGATCATTTGACATCTCTTGTAAACACTGCTTTAACGTAGAGAACGAATCAGGAAAGGGGTCTTACATGAACTGCGCATGTTTAGAGGTTTTGGCATGTTTAGATTCCGGTCACTGTGGAAGGAGAGTGGTGCTACCTGAGACAGCTGAAGGCCATTCCCCCGAGAGATACTCTGCTGTAGAGCCACTGACATTCTGCTGAACTGAGAGACAAGGCTATTCACAACTTTAAATTAATTTGTTAGCATCACCAGACCGAGACTACGCTTAGATTATTGCGTGCCTTTCTAACAAATGAGAAAAGTTAATAACAAAGAACTAAAGTGCTAGAAGACATTTCAGCAGGGTAATTCAGATAAAATTAAGTTGATCTTGTGTGTTTTATAATTACACGAGGAAAGTCATTTTGTACTGGTGCCTTCATTCCCCAGTGCACACACACACACACACACACACACACACACACACACATTCACATTTACAAGTGCACACAAATGTCTAAAAATCTTTTGTTAGTTTCTGTTTTTCTTAATTAATACATCCATCATTTTCATTTTCATTTCAGTACCAATAAAAATTATCTTAAAGTTTAAATTTTTGTCAGAAAAGGTGTGCTTTAAAACATTACCACCTTGTGCAACATAAACCTAGTGTTATCAAGGGTTTGATGTTAGATGAGATGGATACCACACTCTCGCCTGTGTCTGTGGAGCTACAGCAGAAAGGTAATTATCTTAGCTTAGCATAAAGACTGGAAGCAGGGGGAAGCAGCTGGTCTGATTCCTCTCCAAATTTTAAAAGCACATTTACCGGCTTACTAATTAACATGTTATATCTCCTTTGTTTAGTATTTCCACAAATAGAAATCTAAAACCAGCAAGTTGTGGTTTTACTATGAGTTCAGACAGAATGCAAAGTGAATTTTTGGGGGTGTTTTCATACAAAGTCAATGTAAAGATGCAATTAGATCCAAATTTGCCCTGGGGAGTGGGAACTGACATAAAGACGCGTCTGTGCGAGCTGAAAATGTTTCAACCTATAAAAAAAATTAGTGGGTGTCCCAAGGCTTTACAGACCCGAGAGGACAAAGGAGACAGATTGGAGAAAAATACCTGTAGCAGAAAACTGTATTCTCTGAGGTTGAGCTGCCACACAAATAAACACAACCCGGACACGGTCGGTGCATCTGTTGCTAGCTAGCTTACAACTAATGCAGAGTCAGTAAATTGGCAGCAGCCACGTGCAGTGACTTCCTGGAGTCTCCATTGGTCGCCTGGCAATCTTATATCGACAACAAGTGTATTTCCCAAAACATCAAACTATTCCTTTACTGCAATATTCGAAATGACGGTATACAATGGTATAAGTTAAATTCAACATTCATCACACTGAATCAAATAGATAGCGTACTCAGTAAATGAAAATGACGAGAGTCAGATAAAACACACATGGGCTTTGGGATCACATTGCAGAGGACTCGCTACAAAAACACTTCACTCGTGCTTTAGGGGCTGTTTAAGGGAGTGTGAGATCCTTTTTATGCTCCTTTTGAAACACTTAACACCCAGGGTCTTTTTATTCTTGACAAGAGCTGAAAATAAACAATTGTTTATTTGATGGTGGTAGAAGCATAAATGCAGTTTCAAGAGTGATATAATTTTTTTACTGTGCAGTAAAGTGTCTTTTATCAGACTGTAGACCTCTGTATATTCCACTTCAGTGGTACTTACTTGTACTAACTAATCTACTAATCTAGGTTGTTTCTTTGTAAAGGTTTGTTGAATCTGTTTTTTTTTTTCAACTGAATTGTTCTTGTTGAGGTGTGCATTTTCTAAACTGTCCAACATATGCACAGTCAGCACAGTTACTTTAAGTTATTCAACAACAAAAAGGCAGGTGTGAGATTGTATAAATATCTACCTGTGTGCAGCGTTCCTGCATCATGGCTGGTATAACTGTGGTTTTGAATTATTGTTGGTCTGTTACATGGATTTTAAGGCGTAGGAACCACATAGATACTCTTCAAAACAAAGTGTGTGTGTGGGTGTGGGTGTGTGTGTTTGCGCGCGCGTGTGCATGTGTGTATGTTCTCAGTCTCAGACACAGCCAAGCTCCCTTAATGAGAGACAGATCAATCAGTGGAGCTAAGCTTTGTCTGACAAGCCAGCTGTGGAAATCCCTCCCCGGCACCTGGGAGATTGCCTTCGACTTTTCATCCTTCATCCACTGTCCACATTATAGACTGACTTGACCATAAACTCTGACTGTGCCTGAACATTTGTCCTGCTTCCACCATCACAGCACACAGAGAGAGAGGCAGTAAACAGTCAAACAAACTGAAAACACTTTTATGATAATCTGGTGATCACAGCAGCCACTGTGCTGTGAAAAGCTTGTTAATCTTTTGGGGACACAAACCAGCCTCAGTGTAAAACAGGCCAGTGGGCTTCATTTTTATACCATTTATACCAATAATAAATATTCACTTCATCACAGAAATATAACGGGAGACTTATTGGACTCAGCTAAGGTACAGTGCAAACTTACAAAACATGGCAGGCTTGTTAAACTCATTTGAATTTTTATATTTGAATATTAATGTCTGTTTTTTGATTGTAGTTACTGATGAATTATATGTTAATTAAAGTTAAAGAGATAAAAATGCTCTATAAAAATATATGATAATAGTTGTGTCATGTATCAATTATCAGGCTGTGTTTCAGTCTTTAATGTGTTGCAACAAGCCTGAGTGTCACTGACTAAGCTGAGACACTGAGTGTGTTTCCATCAACCTGTTTTTATGCAAATTTTCAATTTGCATTAAAAAAAAAAAAAAAATATCGCAAAAAAAAAAAAATGTTTGTACTAGGCTGAGGTGGAAAAGTTGGTGCATCAATGAAGTGAAAGTAAATTATGAAATACATAAAGTTTTCACTTCATTGCGCAAAGATGACTGAGATGAAAAACCTGCAGTAGATGAAAACAGATCTGTACAGAGCGATCAGGAGACTGTATCCTCCTTCAACTTAATACTTGAGACAAACATATATCTGATATTTCCATCATCATTTTTTTGCACATCGGTTTTGATTGTTTGAGGTCTGATGGGTGCTCTTTTGATGACGTCATCATCATCTCGTGCTACCTCCTTCTTCCACAATGTTTTAATGGCATCCAACTAGAGAATTAGCAACAATGTTTTATTTCATTGCAGCCAGCTAATAATCATAATAATCATTTAACAGTAGTGGATGGAAATTTACCCGTAATTTACATTTTCTTTAGTCTGGAAATGTGGTTAAAATTAACAGCTGTTTACTTTACAGTCTGGAAGAAATGTTGAGTTCAACATGAAACTTAGGTTCTTCACTCACTAGAAGCTGTCTCCAGTGGTGGAGAGCAACCCTCTTGATTTGCTTCTATTTCTATCACTTCTTTTCCTCTTCTGAAGTTAGCATGCTAACCATCTATCCCTGGCCTGTCTTGTAATACTAGGCTAATTTGTGATAGTGAGTCACTGTAGCGCCCAGTCTACCCCTTAGTTCAGCATGACACGATGAGGAATCAGCGCTGATATTCTAACCTCTTGTCTTGTAACCACAAGGCAATGTCTGAAGCCCTTGGCAAACGACCATTGTCACCACCACAACCACCACCACCAGCTCCCGGCAAGAAACGACGTGCGGAGGCAGAGAAAACTTACATATTGCAGCTTTTAATGCTGTTTCTTCCCAGCCATCATTTGTAAACAGGAAGATTCATCTACTGTGTCCCTTCTTAACTTTGGTTTATGCATTTCCTGTCACACTTTTCTCACCATCCACTTAGACTCTGATTCTCCAAACTCTCAGCTTGCCTCATCCCTGTCTGTGTCTAATTACCTCCTTAAAAAATCCTCTCCTCTGTTTCAAATAGTTTGAAGAACAAGACCTTGATTTTCTGCTAATAATCCCAATGGGCCCAATTTAGCAACTAATTTAGGCAAATGTTATCTAAAAGACTTTCAGAGGCACAGCTGGCTTCAACCAGGGTACCAATTTCAGGACTTGCTTGCAGTTGTAGAGGGGGAGAAAGTCGTCCAGTGTGTTGAGGCTCTTCCTTGGGGGCTGTCCGCCCAATTACCCTAAATAGACCCATTATTTCCCGCAAAACTCTTGTATTGTAAAACGAGTCTTGGTAGAAGAGTCCTTTTACTGCATCATGCAAATGTACTATAAATCACTACATAATCTCATCTCTATGCATTTTAAAGCATTACCCTTGTGTCACATCACATTCACACTGGAACTGTTCCACTGAAGACCATTCCCAGCGGTTATGTTTGGACCTGCTAACTCATCAACAGGCCCATAAATAGATGATATAAATAACCATAATGGACTTCCCATATGTTATATTCTTCACTGCAGAAAGGATTAGATCTGCTGGATGTGATAATTAGATTGCGGAGCGATACTGAGATTTGAATGAATGAAAAGAAAAGTCTGACCTTAGTCAGGAGCTCCGAGACTCCCTGTTTATTGTATTTGGGTCCCTCATGACACATTTAGCGCAAAAACACTTTGATGTGTGGATGGGATTTATTTGGAGTGTGAAAGCAGCAGGAAAATGGATCGGACATTAGTGTTGCAGTGTCCTGTGGGGCAGTCAAGTCATGTCAAGTCAGATTTTATTTGTGGAAAACATTTTATATCAAGCCCATCCATTTTAAACAAAGTAAGTCCAAACTAAAAAATGAAAAGCTTCAGTGTAGGAGAGACAAAATCCTAAAAAGAATACACAGTGGACAAACTTTAACCCAGATTTTCTTGCAGAGCAAATTCTGGCAGATGAGTCATTCATCTCAACTTGATCACAGCTTTTGTAATACAACACAGTCACAGTTGAAAAACAAAAGATAATTTCTTTATATACATGTGGCTTTTTACAAAATTTTGCTCGCGTATTATTTTCTTGCACCTCTGAAGTCTCCTCTGGAAGATCAACCGTGGCCAACTCAATGAGTAACATTTGTTGTGTAGGTGGGAGGTGTGAAATGCCTCTTTTATATTTGTCAGTCCGAGTTCTGATTTTCATTTGAAAATGAAGTTTCCCTGTCGTTTCAGGTTAGTTAGTTTATGTCTTTAACCCACCTGTCACAGTGCTTTTCATTTTACGAACCGTTGATTGATGGACACAGTTTATTTCCACCTTCCTGTAAGTTTTTCATACTTGTGGATTTTATTGAAATGAATGTTTCTTATCACAACTGTGGACATTACAACATTTATCTTCTGTATCACCAGCGCACAAACAGTAGTCGGGGATAATGAATGAATGGCTATTGGGTCACAGAGAATCATAGATCAAAGGCCAATTAGAATCATGTTTAGTCTGAAAGCATTAGCAAGCTGATCATGTGGGTGAGGAAATCTCCACCAATTAAGCTAATGGACATTCTTCATGATGATTTCAGATATGTATTATGAGCTGCAGACAGCAGCAGCCCCCCCGCGCCCCCCCCCCCCCGGTCTGTGGTCTGTGACTACATATATATATATGTATTTTTAACTACAATAATCTTGTTTTCCTGAGCTCAGCTGCAGCAAAGATCCCTGATGAGCTTTAATAACCAGGTTCAGGCTGAAGGGGGAGGGGTTGGCATCATTAGAATAAAGTATTGATTTAAAATTTTTCTAAGACAGGTCTGGTGAATTTTAAGTGACCAGAGACTCAGACATTTTAGAAGAGTTTCTCATCTCCATGATCAACCTTTGCTGTATTAAAATGGTGGTTTTTGCACAGACATTCATGGTCCTCAGAGAATGGAGCCTATTGACTTTAATGACCCCCCTTCCTCTAGCGCCCCATTCGGTACATCTGCACATATGAGTCAAATATCTTGATAGCTGTTGGTTATTGTCATGCAATTTGGAACAGACATTCATGTCCCCAGAGGATGAACTGTAATAACTTAAACTACTTAAACTCAAAAGTTTAGTTTGTCCAGTGATTTGGTTTATAACCAAATTCCTGCAAAACTACAGCTTTTGTTTAGAGCTAATCATTAAATGTTATCACGCACAGTATAAGATGATGGACTTGATAAGCACTATACTTGCTAAACATCAGCATGTTGGCATCGTCATTGTGAGCGTTCATCTCAAAGCAGGGCTGTGCGCAGGTGCAGTCTCACAGAGCTTCTAGCATGGCTATAGGGTCCTATTACCTTTGGTTTCCCTCTCACAGAACACCTCCCCACAGTGTATCTAAACAAATATCATGTTTCTGCCTGAATAAGATGTTGAAGGTGGTCACTGGCTACTTCTGTGGCACAAAGTATCACTGAGTGGAAATACTGTAGTTACCATAGTTTACCCAAATGTGGCTTGATGCGTCTTTATGCCCAGTGCTAATCTTGTGCTAATGTAATGTTATGGACAAACATTTAGGTGGAGCAGTAACCATAATAGCACCATAATAGGGTGCTTTGTCTGAGTACAACAAATTAGCTCACAAAAAATCAGCTTACAAACACCTGTGGTTCACTGTAACTCAGTTTTCCTTGCCTTTAATCATTTTATTTCATTAGACAGGTTATTCACAAAGATTACTCATGCAGCCTATTTTATCTGTGTCTTTTCTCCTGTGTTGCTGCAGGTGCAGATTCGCACAGTGACGTGAGCTCAGTGAGCGGCGGCGTGCCGTGGGACAGCAGAGAGACATCCCTGGCTGCCTCCACAGCCGCCTCCCTGGCCTCATCCCTGCCTCTGAGGGACGTAATGGATGCAAACGAAGACATTAAGCACAGGGAGCACTGCGACAGAGACTCAAACGAGTCTATGGGCAGCGGCTCGTCTTTTGAAGAGCTTGACATGGATCAGGAGGAGCAGGAAGAGGGAGAAGAGAGGGAGGAGAAGGAGGATGGGGAAGAGAAGGAGCTCCCTGAGGGTGAAGATGGAGCTAGAGAAGCAGTTGAACTGGTGGCTGAGAAGAAGGAGGCCCTGGGGGATGGAGAGGAGTAGGAAGGATGCTGAAGAGATAAGGGATGAGGCCATGTAATGCTGGCATGCTAGAGAGTTTCTCAGTTGTTGCGATTGCTGGTTATTTGTCATGTAATCTTGTTGGTGGATCTAAAGCTGTTCATGCCATGACCAACATGCCATATTTCTGCGCCTTCTAAGTCTCTTTTTGAAGCCTCTACTTTTTGTTATTCTGTAATCTCATTTTTTAAAAATAATTCCTGATCATATATTTAAACTGTCAGGATAGAGCAACAGGCAACCCCATAGGGTTAAGTCTTCTTGAATAAACCTAATTTTCTCTGCACATGGTGTGCAGCAAATGAGAGTTGAGATTTGTTTAATTCTATATTTCATTTCAAACTGTAATCTTTTGAATTTGAATCACCACCATTTCTGTCCAGATTAGATTAGAAGTGACACTTCAGATAAAGATCCACATAAAAGGAAAGACACTGGATCATCATGCGGCACCTTTTCGCCATGTGTGACAGTTGATATTGTACCCCACTTTCTAGGTCATGTCCTGAGGAAATATATGTCAAGTGTTTGTGTGCATTACCTGACTTTGGTGTATTGATATACAATAATGATTGGGTGAAAATGTTCAGGAGCGAATGCCGTAGAAATCTTGATGGACCCATTTCATTGTGTTATTAATTTTCTTTTTCTTCTTTTTTTTTTTTTTTTTTTTTTTTTTTTTTTGGAAAGAAAATTTGGAAATTCTGGAGCAGAGAACAAACTTTCATCAACACCAGTGAGGACACCAATAAAGTAACATCACCATAGTCTCCAAGTCACCAGGACTAAGGTTTATAATTTGTTTTACTGTACAGAACATTTTATTGTTACTCTGCTCTCAGATAATTGCTTTAGTTTTTTAATGTAATGTTCTCTTCTATAGTTGGTCTGTTAAACTACTCTGCAGCTCTCTTTGTAGCCAAAATTCACTCACTTCCACAGACTAGTTGTGATATGTTCGTAGGTTGAAATTGTTGGTGGTGTGACATGTTGGAAAAAACGTACAGCACATTCCCATGGTTGTGTCTTTCTGTCTGTAATAAAATTTTCAAATTAAAGGTCCAGTTCACAGGTATCAGTTATGCATAGATGTTTTTTGCACAAAAAATTCTTTCAATATCTGTTTTAAAAATTAACCTCAGCCTCTAACACAAAGCTACATCATCATCACTCTGAGGACTGTTCTTATCCATTTTTATTTGTCTGTTTCCAAACAAGAGGTGCAACAAAGGGTGGGTGGCAGTGGGATGCACTGAAGTTATTGATGAGGCAGTAAATGCCTAATAACTTATTAAGCTGTTAACCACTGTCATGGTTTCACATTGTAATGGCTGCCAGTGCCACCGCCTCTTTGGGAAAGACACAGCAATGAAATTCAAAAGCTAAATAAAAGAGAAATGTAAAAAAAAAAAAAAAAAAAAAGCCTATAATGGCATAATGTGTTTTTCAGTGAAAGTTGAGAAAAAATAAGCCCTGCTGTTTGAAGATTTTCTTGTGGGAGCTATTTCCCTTGGCACATTTAAAATGCTAAATCAGTATGCCCAAAACAATACAAATGTGGGAAGCGCAAACACGCTTAAGAATATCATTACAATGTCATTATTGTATCCAAATCGTCACCTTAGCATAAGCTGCATTTATCTGGCCAGCCTTTCACTGAGCGGTTTGGCATTTGTGTCACAATTTACTTAATCAGCTGTGTGTACAGCAGAAGAGCCAGAAGAGGCTCCAACAGACTACTGATTTTTGATGGACACGCATGTTCTTTAGCCAGCGGTCCTTAATGAACATCATGACCTATAAGTACAACTGTTTTTTTTCAAATCCAACACCACAGTAGGCACAGTCATTTTACTGATTAATACACCATCAACCAGAGAGAGAAAATGCCCATCTTGATCCTTGGTCAGGCCGACGTGCATAATGTCAAATTAAATTATATGTTTTACATCATTTGCCCATCAGAGAACACTGATAAGTTTTATTTTTCATCGGTGAAATTTCCAGTTCCAAACACAACTTAGTCACAATTCCCTGAAAAACAAGTTCAACGGGGCCTCATCAAGTGTTTACAAAATGAATATTGACCATTATATTCTATGATGGCAGAAGGCTGTAAATGGGTGACAAATTAAAGGAAAGGTATGAATAAATGAGTGGAGAAACATAACAAATGCATTTGCTTCCATACAAGTCACAAGGGGTCACTGAATGGGTTAATGAGTATGAAAATGATGAGAGTCATATGCAATGGCCTTCTCATCAGACTTATGGGAGATTTATATTTATATTTTCTAACCAGCTATATTTTAGAAGAATGGTAACCATCCCTTCAAGCTGATTGGGCCTCGTGGTGACACGATAATGTTGGCGTCATCTCTTATGTTTTCCATCTTAAAGAAGCACATATCTATTCACACATCACCTCAGCTGTTTAGAGCGTGCGAGGAATGACAGACTTACTTTCATTCCAGCTTTAAAATGTTTCACCTAAAGGACCTGTTGGTAACGTTGTGTTTTCTGATGAGACAATGAGATTGGTGGCTAAACTGCCTACAGAGGTGTCATCAGTCTGCATGGACAGATGCCCCCATCACATGTCTGTTGCACTTTCAGTTTTAATCCTGGCACCCCAACCTTTGTCCAGAGGCAAAAATGAAAATCAGTCTGGAAGAGACTGCGATGACACACTGGGTCAGCAACTGATTTAATTAATTGTGAAACCCACAGGGGTGTCATGCAGCTTTGAGGGCACGGAGATTATTGCCTTCCCATGATGTTAATTATTAATCTCATTACATTGCACTTGGAGAGATGGGGGGAGGCAGGGGTGGGGTGAGTGGGGGGGTATCAACATTCAAATTTAGATGTCGATCATTGCGTATGTGAAGCTACTTTTTGCAGGACAGAGAAATGGCAGCGCCCCCCCCCGCCTTAAAGCGCATGTCCCCCTGCGCGCCACACTGTGCCATCTGGGACTGACCTCACACTCTCCCGTGCCGTGTCACAACTTGTTTGCTGCATTTATCGGAATCTCCACACTTATCTAACGTACTCAAGACGGGTGTTATTGTATATTTGTAGGTTTAGAATGAGCATGCGAAGCACGTTGTGATGATAAAAGAAATATATATATATGATAAGTCTCATACGTTGTGTAAAGGATATTATGGAGTTCCTTTTCAAGAGGCAGTTCTCGCAAAGAATCCTTCAACCTCCCCCCCCCCCCCCGACCGCATGAACAAATAGGGGGCGACTCTTAAACCTTCTCCCCATTGATATTCTCAACCAGTTCAACAGCTTTCAACCCAGTTCAAGGCGGCTAAAGAGAAACCAGAGTCAGTAGCGTTATGCTTTAATATACACAACATTAATTTCGTAATGCAGTTGCGATGAGGCAGAGCATCTCCACGACTGATCTTGCGTTAAGCAACTGCGCCTTTGTTCAGCTGTCTAAACCTTCTGAGAGTTGAGGCTCTCTCCCAGGTTGGTGCGCTTATCCGCAGCGAGCGCTTTTGTCAGCTGAAAATATTGTTGCCATGCTGAAGATTTTACTCGAGTAACAGGTAGATTTTAAACTTTGTGTCTAATTCCCTCTTTTCATGCGCGCCAGAGCAGATCACCTGTCATCCTATCAGACTTATAAACCTCGCCTTTTTTCCCCCTAGATTGGTGGTTAAATTGATGATATTTCTCTTTCACACTTGATGCTTAAGAAAGTCAAACGCCCTTTTCCCACCAGTACACCGAAGTGGAAGTCAGTTGCATTTGTTTTAAGCGCGTTTTGGGGAATGTGACTTTTGAACCTCCAAGATCCAGCGGCTCGTCGTTTGACTGGGGTTGTGCAGCAGCAGCAGTAGCAGCAGCAGCACCACGGACAGCTCCTGGCACGCGGGCTCAAACTTCAGCCAGCGACACTCGCCTCCTTCATTCATCCTGCTCCAGTGCAGTTCACAGCTACGCTGATTTTAGGCTTTAAAAAAACAACAAATCAACACTGCTGCAAAGGATGCTGCTGCGCTGGGTTTACACAGTCCGCTCATCCCACAGCAGCGCTGGAAACTGAGGATCCCTGCACAGGTAAGAGATGTTGTGTGTTTTTGTCTCGGCTGATTTGTGCGTTAAATGCCTGAAGGTGCGTTTTGTTGTGAACTTCTGCAGCAGCCTACGAGCTGGTTTGTTGAGAAGATTAAATAAACCGGTTTATTCAGGTTTTAATTTGTTGAGGAGTTAATCTCTCCTTTTTTATTGTGTTGACAAAATCTTTGTAGTTCTTATCTAAAAAAAAAAACAAATGGTGAAAAGGATGAACGAATCAATTAGTGCGTGATTTGTTTCTGGCAATATTATTGTTATTATTTTTTTGCCATACTGGAAATAGTTTACCGCATTTTGAGCACATTTTGCCTCCTTTTTGTTCACCCCTACATCTCTGGCTATACAGCAATGTCTACTTGCTGCCCCACCGTCCACATGTGTGAGGCTGCTGGAAAAACTACTAAACGGGCGCTGCAGTACAAACCAACCGCCATGTCTCCAATCTCACTCATTTGGGAAATCACTTTGTGTAACAGAAAGTGCGAAACACTACCGATAAAGTCGATTGAAAAATTCAAAAACTTGAGAATTAGTTTGTGTGCCACAGGGTGTTGGAGAGAAGAGGATGTTTTACACAACCACGGTTCATCTTTTTCTACTGGTTTCTTTTTTCGGTGGCATTTCTTTAGTTTCATTCTCTTAACCACTTAAAAATACACTGTATCATCTCTGTCTTTTCCATCTTCTCGTATTAAAATGAACGTATTAATGATCCGAACTGTTGGAACCACATCAATGTAGATTAACATCATATTGTTGTAAATTAACATGAGAACACTGTATGTGGGGCTACAGACAGAGTCACTCTGTGCAGTTTCTTCGATTATCAGATCATCGGGAGTTTAAAATTCATTTTTAAACACACGAGGAATATAAATGAATACCCCCAGGAGCAAATATTTAGATGCTGCGTCGCTAATGCTGGACAAAGTCATTGAGGGAGGCAAAATGTACTGTGGATGCTTCCTCCAGTCCCAGGGGGCATCTGTGCTGCATGTTCAGCAGATGAAACACAATAGAAAACCCTCTGTGCAGTGTAATCACTTCAGTCAACACATTTATTCATATATATAAATATATATACATCTTATAAATAGTAAACTATACCAATAACTGTTTAATTGATCATCAGTATATCACAAGCATGTTTCTCAATTTCTTACATAACAGAATAAAGCGTATTTTAGTAGATCCTCCTCCTCTAAGACTAAGAGGTGGAATGATGTGAGCCCAGCATTCACAGTTGAAGATGTTGATTGCTGTAAATTATTCAGGTCATGGCTGACTGAAGAAGAACATACTCCATTGCCATCATCTGAATGCACAAAACAGAAAAAGTAGCAGGATAGTGGATGAGGCTGTCTGACCTGTGCTCCCTCCTTCCGCCCAGTCCTGCGTGCAGTGTCCCTCACATATTACTTTTGACTTGATGCTTGCAGGGGACACACTCGCACAAGGACAGGGAACGCTGTTAATTACACTGAGTGTGGGCCAACCAGAGCTGGTGGCAGCATGTAAGAGTTTTGGAACAATGCAAAAAAAAAAAAAAAAAAAAAGGCTCTGTATCAAAAGAGCAGC